GCCTGGAATTTTATTCACTATAGAGTCGTCGTTTTATGAAGTACTTCTCTTGAAGAGTAGGCTTGGTGGGGCTCTGTCTTGCAAATAACTGATATACTGAAGTCTATTCGTTTCAGTACAGGAGCACTACTAATGTTTGATAATGAAGATCAGCAGGATTGGGTCCGACGGTTTTGAATATTGTTTTGAAGTACAGTGAATTTGCTGAGTTTAAGCAGTCATTGGTATCATATACAAGAGCTTTAAGACTTCTGAGTTTTCACTGGAACTGTGGATGCTTTTATTTTCAACAGCAACAAAAAGCCTGGTTGGCTCAGATAACATTCTTTGAATAGCATTCATGTAATAGCAACTTGGCACTGTGTAGATTTGTTTGAAAAGACAATTGATGATACTTTAGGGTTATAACAAAACGGGTCTTCTTAAATACATCCTTTTAGAAAAATTGGCTATATTTATCATGCTCAGAGTCTTAGCCTAAAAGCTTTTATTATTGTTAAGTCAAGCTCTTACACAACTAATGATTAGTAGAAATATTTCTGGAACCTTGTTTTTACTTTATTGCCGATCATGATATTTGATTTTAAACATAAATGTTCTCAGCTTGGTTTCATCCTTGTTCTTTTTCTCCTCCTCTCTGCTGCAGTCTTTGGTGATCGTGTGGATTTCCACCCACTCCCCGAGTCTTTTATCTATATACCATTTTCTGCACCCAGATGTTTATGTACTAAAACAGATTGTGGTTTTTGCCTTTTCCCTGGGTAACACTATGACATCTGTATTTAGTTTTTTGCTCCTGTTGTTTTCAAGTGTGTGCTGCCATCTATGGAGTAATCATTGAAATAAAGCTGATAGAAAAAGATGTTTTATCAAAAGATTATGGAAAAGAAGATCTAGCTAGTGGAGGAGGTATCATAAAGCAGTTGGCCAGATCTCAGGAAATCCTGTTTCTCTGTAGTCTCAGGTCTCACAGCCAGCACAGGTGAAAGTATACCGTTTAGAAAATCAGCGACTTCCAGGAGTTAAGTTATTCAGTAGGTTTATTTATACTGGGCAAGCTATCAGGGCAGCCTGGAAATTAGAATAAGGTTGCTTTATCCTCTAATCCTGTAACTCATTCCCTGTAACTTTTCCTTCCCTGTTACCTTTCACATGTCCTAGTCCTTCAGCGGTTTCCCAGATCTGTTTATTATTCTTTCTTCATTTGTTTTTTAAAGCTTAATTTTAATTCCTTACTCTTCCCAGGCATCTTGTTAACTGGCTTCATACCTCTCCTTTACATCCAGGTTTCCCTCCTTCAAATCCCTTTAGAATGCAGTACTGAAGATCAGTCCCCATTCTCGCTCTCTTTTATAACATTTTGTTGCTTGATATCTATTTTAGATTATACATTTATTGTAGTACATTTATTCAGGTTGGTCTGGAAAGCACTTGGAGAAGTAATTTTCTCTATACTTTTTTGAAGTGACTGTGGGGTATCTGTGCACGCATAGAAACTCTCAGCTTTTATCTCGATACTGTTCATATACTTTTCAGCTTGCAAATTTTTGACTAAGGATTTTAGCATCTTACAGCCTTGAATAGGGTTAGGTATATGAGTTCTTGGCAATCAGACTTCTATTCATTTCAGTTAGGGGATGTGACAGAGAACAACTATATGTCTTTAGATCTTTCCTCAGCAAAAGCAGTGCTGGAGTGGGTGTGTATTTAACCACTGCTGCTTAAATGCTTTCTTGTAACACAAGACATTAGAATCAAAAGGAAAAGTTTAACATATATGGATGAAGCATTCTTAAAAATATCTTCTGACATTTTCTTCTTATTGCTGAACTTAGAAATTGATCTTATTTCCCAGCATCAGAGACAAAATGAAGGAAAAAAAATCAATGCTGAAGATTGATCAATGTTTTTCAAAACTGACTTAATAAGATAAAAATCAATGCAGCTGTATTATTTGCCATTATTTTGTCACCAGTATCATTCAGACATGGTAATATTTGATTCTTAAGTTATATGTGAAAATATTTCAGTTACCTCCTACAGAGGCAAAAAAACTTAAGAAGGAAGGATTTATTTAGTCAAACTTCGGGTTTCTTTTTAATGCCAATTTTGGAACTTTGAGTTCTGCAGAAACTGAAAACAGTTTCATATTTTAAGTACCAGTATATAATTGTTCCTTTAATCACAGAGACTTAAATAGAACAAATTATTACTTGTATTTGCAAATTACAAGCTCTGATCTTCCCTTCCTCCTGCAAATAGCAGTTCTGTCTTGCTTGGTTGAAAGATCTGTACTCAAAAATTGGAAGATAACCTTGGGCACCTAATTTCCCCCATGCCAGACTCACAGTGCTTTGAATTTCGAGCCTTCCTGTACAAATGCATTGGCTGATTAATCTTTTTTTGGCAAAAATTAGTGGGTTATTTGGGTTCTGTTTGTTTGGGTTTTTTTCCAATGATCCTTTCCCTTTTCTCTCCCCACTGTCGCCTATAATATTAAGAACCCTTATTGATTTATTTAAAGGGAAGTCTTAAAAACTGTCTTGTGTAGTGTCAGTGAACCAATCCCTAAGCCGTGAGTTTGGCTTAACAGTTGAGAGATTTTTTTAAAAAGTAATTTGTGTTTTAATATTTCAGTTCCTATTTACTTGCTGCCTTGGGTTTAGCCCTTTGAGGTTTGAAATTCTTTCCTAGGTTTGAAATTTCTTTTAACAACTGAGGGCTAGAAAATGTCATTTTAGGGAAGAAAGTAAAGATTCTCACATAATCACCGGGACGTGAACTGGGATTTTAGGGAAGTATCAGACATTGAAAGACTCCTGATAAAATCCTGGATATTGGCGAGCCTCTGGTAATGGCATCTTTTGTTTTAAAGATTCATTTCATGAGCACAGAAAGACAGCTTTCTGCATAAATTTCTATTGAATTGAATCCCTATCTATAAGCTGAGCCAGAATGTCATAAAATAGGAAATGCAAACCTAATAGTAGGTAGACATAGTTTTTGAGAATACAGAACTTGATTAAGTTCTCTGTCGGGCCAGTTACTTTTACCTCTCTTTTTCATATTCCTTTACTAATTGATAAATGCAGTGAGTTTGCTCATCTCCTCAAGGAGCAGCAATATGTACATCCATTGGGAACAGACAGTCCCGCTCCTTCGTTCTCTCCATGAGCTTCGTTATAGACGATATCTGCAATCACATAACGAGGGAGCTTGTACTGGTACCTCTCCCTTTCCTCCTCCCTCTGTACTGTGAGAGAGAAGTAGCATGGCATGTTGCATAGCTAAAAGGTTATCAAGCCTGAATTTGTTACACCTCTGAATTTGGCAGGCAAGCATTCGCAGCCACTATAGAAATACATGGCTCATCACCACATGAAGCTGGACACCCTGAGAAGACAGATGATATTGGATTGGTTTTCTTGTTGCTCTGCAACTAAACAGGCTTAAGCTATGCAATCTGATATTCCCTAATTGACAGCTTTTCCAGGGTTCATTTGTTAACTGAGAGCATGACATGTATTGAAGTTGTTTCTTCATAATGCATTTGGCATTAACAGGAGAAGCTGTCGAACGCCTCAGACATCAACATCTCGGCAATAAGATATTTCATCTCCAGTTTTGACTTTCTAACTAGTGACTTTGTATTTGCAAGGGCATTTTGAATGAGCATCTGAGAGGACAGAATGTAAGAAGAAAGCTTAAATACATTCCCCAAAGAAAATTTGTGAGAAAGTATTTTTGCTGCTTGGGACATTTACCTGAGTTTTATGCTTCAACTGTTCTTTTTTTTTTTTTTTTTTTTTACTATAAAGCCTTGGTTTCTTGCTTAACTCGCTGAATACTCATTGGTTTCAGAGAGTTCTTTTATTTTGGTAGATTAATAAATAGGCATATCTAATTTTATTTATAGTGATGAAGAATTTGTATGTAAAAGACATGCTCGTGGGTTTAACTTGCCTGTGCATCCACAAGAGAATAAAATCCCAAAGAAACCTCTATTTCAAAGAATCCTAATCTTCCCCAGATGAAGCCCATGTTTGTTTGAAAGAATAAATTACCTGTGTAGAAGAGACTGGAGGATGATTGCTCCACTGAGCTTGTCACTGTCACAAAAACATTTGCTGTTTTCTTGTAACTACTTTTCATAAACACTTTCTTAGAACACAGATTGTGCCAGAATTCTAACATTCAGCTTTTTTTGTTTTTCATTGTGTAAAAGATTTCCACTATCTACTCTTCCTTCCAACTGTTCATATGCTGATACCTGGGAAGATGTTCACACGGGGTCTATAAGTACTCATTATGAACTTGGTCACAAATCCATCACCATTAATAGCTGCTGCTTCTCCTGCATCCCATGAACTTGATAGCTACAAGATGAATTTATCTTAGACGTACAAAAAATGTGTTTTAATTTCACGTTGTTATTCTTTCTTAGTGTAAGCTTGTTACTCTAAATATTTAGGTTAGTTTCTTTAGCACCTAGTTAAGGTTCTGGACGTATTCTTCCTGCTGGGAAGAGTACATATCTGGAGAAGTACATGAAGTTTTACAGATATTGTCAAAACAGTGCAGGAGTTTCAGTGGTGCTTTGACTAGCATTGTTTAGGAAGTGAAACATAGCTGTTGAGATGAGGGAAAGAAATGAATGAATGGGTCAGGACACCTTCATTTCACAGAAATAAAGAGCCTAGCTTTGCCAGAAGTGCCTCTTCAAAAATGCCAGGGAAGAATGAGCAAAGCCAGATTCTGCCTAGAAAAGCCCAGAAACAAACTTTTTGAAAGCCCTGAAGTCTGGAACCTAAGCACACATCTCTCCTCCCTCTGTGAACATCAGTGACCTGAATTTCTGCAGCCAAGTATTCCTGAGCCTTTGGGGGTCATTCTGGACCTGTCTCCATCGAAGTGCTTTCTGTTTTATTTGCAATGTCTGTTGGCAAATGCGGTTTGGGTCCCTGGTGAGCACTGACTCCAGAGGTCCTTCTGTCTTGCAGGGCAACCACAAGCTGCATGTGGACACCGGAGTGGAAGGTGCCTGGTGTGGCCTCATCCCCGTTGGGAACTCCTGCGACGACGTGACCACGACAGGCCTCAAGTGGAACCTCAGTAAGTCAGATGCCTCTGGGACGGTGGGTTTGGCATTACCCTGACCACACATTTACACCAGCCTCACCAGTGCTGAAGGGCCTTGTGTGTTTGAAGGTAGAGCATGGCATTGAATCCCTGCCAGGCTGTTTTTTCTAGAAATGAAGGGGTTTTTTTAAAAAAAGAAGAGAAATACATTTAAGCCTAAGATATCGCAGGCAGAAACGTGTTTGCCATTTGGGAGTCATTGTGCTGTTTAAATAGAACATTTGTTGAGGTCATGAGACATTACCATCTTGATACATTGCCCTCCAGGGAGGGGAAGCTGCGAGTGCCTAAACTCCTGGTTATAAGCCATAAAGTTACAACAGACAAATAATAATGCGATACAGATTATTAAAGCTACCTCACTTCCCCTGAACTGCTTCACGTATATTGTCTGTTTGTCAACTCTGAATGAATAGATCTTTTTCGAAAGTGGGAAAAGGTGCATTTGATCTAGAACAGGGACCTTTATCTGTAGAGAAAGGAGGTTTCTTGACCAAAAAAAATTGAAACAATCTTCATCTTTCTGCCTCCTCCTCCCACACAGAGTCATTCAGGATGTATTTACCCAGGAAAATAAACAGGATATTTTAGACAAAGATTCATTAAAACTTAGGGGAAGCAAAGCAGTAATTGAGAGGCTCTAGTCATGCAGTCTGATTTACATGGCCATACCTTAGAGCCATCCCACATAGAAAGGGCATGTGGTTCTCACAGTTTGCAGTGCAATGCCTTCGTTGGTTAATAATTAATCTGAGGTTGACCCACTGTGCCGGCCTGTAGCATGCATGTCTTGTTCCACTGAGGGTTTGAGCATGTGCAGTTAAGGAGATAGTAGGGATTAGTAGCTCACTAATAATAGAAGATACAAATATGGCATTAATTTCGGGATGTGAGAGACTTGCCAGGTGAAGAGCTGTCTGGCTAGTGACATTTTCGTCCTTTTAAACTGGGTTGTAAGAGCTGAATGTATTGTATAAGGGACAGTCTCTTAATCTGAAAAAGGGTCAAATATTTTCATTTGTACTGATAAGGTACTGAATCTTTATCTGCTTAGGTTACTTAGAAGCACAGTAGATATGGACCAACAGGGATTTTTATTACACTTAATTTGGTCTTTGTTTTTCTGGGATACAAAAAAGTATTTACATGACTGTTTCCTACTTGTTTCATGTTAACATGACACCACCATCTCTGCTTCTCCCGGTCCTTGTTGCTGTCTGTTTCCAAGAGGAAACCTCAGACCTTTACAGTGTTTTCCTTAGTGATGTGTACACTACACCCTATTACAGGCTGTGCTTTCAATCTCAGTATTCATGTTTCTCACAGGCTGTAGTTCCTTCATTTATTTCTCTGCATTATCATCACAGATATATAAAACCAAAAATGATCTGGTCTTCCTTGAAGACATCTATCTGAGACACCCAAGTCATTACAACCTGAAACTGCTTTTATGTCCAAGTGACTACAACTAACCTTTACTCATCCAAAGACAGATTTTGAATTGGATTATTGTTCAGATACTGATAAAACAAATTAAAGTGTAGTTGCATCCCCAAAAGGGAAACCAATATCTCAAATACAGCATGTGGTTAGTTGTGACTTGGTTGGATTTTTTTTCCCTAATAAATAAGTCTTACATTCAGATTCCTAAGTTTGATAGCAGCTTTCACTGTGTTAATGACTTCTCTGCTACCTGTAGTTTTGCTGTTACTTTTAAAAATGTTAGTCCTCCTGTAAACTGTGATGAAGAAGCAAAGGCTCACCTTGGAAGAAGAGGGAGTAAGAAGATACTGAAGTGTGACAGGGATGTCAGCATTGCTGCAGATGGCTGGCAGTGGCAGAGCTTTACCTGTTCATTTGTTAATGGCACTCTGAGCACACACCTTCATAACCTTCAGTGAATAAAATGGTTTGGTTATAAATTCATTTTCATGTGTAAATAATGAAAGAAATGGAATTTTTAAGCCAAACATGACATGAAAGGCCTTTTTCTCCAGTTTGTTATGGAATTAATTGGATATGACCTAACAAGTTTGATTCCAAAAAGTAATTTTTGAATCCTGAAAAATATTTGTTTTAAGTATCTGGGCAGTAAACTAATTCCAGAATTCCAGTTCCGTCCGAACAGTCAAACATGATGTGTTAGGTGAGAGGGGAGCCCTCATTTTTGCAAACAATAATTTCCAGCAACTCAAAATTCAAATAACACTGCAGTACAAGAGAGAGCTGGCTTTGCATCAAGGTTTTTTAATGTTTAACGCTGATTTCTGTCTGAGCATATCTAGATTACTCTGCTGATTAAATTTTGTAAAACCTTCAAAGGGTAGTCAAATGTTATCTGTATCTAATCTACAGGTGCTGTCATGAGACTTCATAGCTTCTGAATAGAAAAAGACAAGGATAAATAGCTAAGACAGAAGCTGTATTGGGGTTGAGAGGAGGCTACCAAAGGTCTCATTTCAATGGCTGAATTAGATAAACCTGAAATCTATAAATTATTCTGCCAGCAGAGAAACAATGATGTCTTGATTATATTTTTAATATTGCAGAATTCAGTGGTTTTTGTGTGTTGGTGTGAGGATGCAGCATGTATATGCTTTTATGCATGCTTATCTTAGTTATTTGCTAGCACTTGGCACAAGTAGAACTTTCATTTATTTTAGTTCTCATCTTACGGAACTTGGAGAAGAAAGTGGAAAATTGATTAGAGAAAATATTTTTTATCCATACTTGCTATTGTGTAGCACACATTCAGAACACATTATAAACATATTCTTTCCACTCCCAAAGGGATACAGATCTTTTCTCTATTAAAATCTGATTTACAGCACAAGAATCAGATAATGGTTTATCTGATTTGACTCACCTGGCTGCTTGCTGATAGCAGCTCTCATGTCTAATAAATAAATAACGAACAATCCAATAATGCCAGAATTACCCAGCATTCTTCATTAGCTCCTCAGTGGTGCTTTCATGGAAGGTGAAAAGGAATGAAGGTAGAAATCAGCTGCACTGCTCGTCGAAGAAGAGGTTGGAGGATAATGGCAGGCTTCTCTAGGAAATGGTTCCTTTTCTAGGAAATTACTGTAGAAAATAATCTTGCCAACTAATTTAGTCTTCATCCCTATGGCCTTTGATATGCTATATGTCAAACCTGTGCTGGAAAAGCTGGCATATATATATAAAAGTAAAAAAACTCTGTGTGTATGTGATTCTGCTTTCCAGATAATTTTCATGCAAATTTGCTTCTTTAGGTAGGAAGCTAAATTGCTGTAAAATGCTACCATTCAAAAGAGCGCCACTGTCATTTCACTTCAAAAGGCAATAGCAATAACAATGGGAGCAAGACCTTTCTCTAACTGTAGTAACAGAGCATCCACTGACTACTAACTTCACATGCAGATAAACAGGATCCAAACTCTTTTTGATGCTGTTTACATTGGTGGTAAAATTGAAATGTTTGCACTGTTTTTTTCGCTGTTTTACTTCATTGGGGTTTTGTTGACGTTACTTTGTGAATGGAACAAAAAGATTATAAAAGCAGTGGGGTTTTATGTTGTTGGAGAATTCAGGGTCTAAAAGATGAAAGAAAATTAGTAACTCCTTAAAAAAAAAAAGTCAGAGGGTGAGGGACTGCTCTGGGAAAGGTTGTAAATTAAGATCGGCAGGTATCTGTGTGCTAGTGAAGCTGTTTGTATAAGCACTCTGTAACCTGTTTCATAACTGGAATAGTTTATGTGGCACATTTGGCTGCCCCAGTTCATTCTGACTGAGGCAAACTAAGCGGTGCTGCCAGGAGTAGCTCTGTTCTCAGTGGCAGATTAAAAAACTTCACAGCTGAATTCCCCTCTCCTCTGCTTTTCTCTCCTTCCCTCCTTTCTCATGTTCTTCACTGGTAGTAGATTCCCAGTACATCAACTGGGATCTATCTTCAGAGCTTCAGTGATGTAATTTTTCCCTTATTCATTACAGTTCTCAGGCCCTGGCTAGGGCAGAGTGACAGAAATGATGCTGCTGATCCCAAAGCTTCGGATGGTTTTGACCTTTTGCAAGCTATTTGCCTGCAGAAGTGCTGCTGTCTGCCTTCCAGGGTCACATCATTTATTACAAGGCGAGGCCTACTGAAATACTTTTCCAATAAAGCAGATGTTCTGATGGTGGCAGCCTGGCATCCCACTGGTTTACTGCAAGTCAGCAAAAACGAGGGCATTGCTTAGCATTGCATGAAATTATTTTGCACCAAAAAGACTATTTGGTGTATGTAAAAGGACTGATGAACACAGAGCTCAGTTGTGCGGGCCCCTAAAGCTGTATTTGCATTTGTTCCTGAACAGCAGCTTGAAAACTCAGTCAAACTTTGTGAAGGGGCTTGAAATGGGGAACTGAGCTCACACGTTCAATCCATTTCCATATATTTCAATGAATGTTTGGAATTAGCAGGGAGGAGATTTGGTTCCAGCTCTCGTTTAGCAAGGTAGCAGGGTCTGGGTCCTGGCATTCAGTTTGGAAGGGCTGCTTTAAGGTGATGAACAGATATGGTCTTCCAGATCACACTGTTGGGGCAACATTACTGCTGTAGGACTCCATTTACAGGAAGATTCATGTGAGTACCTTAGTTCTGAACTAGCTCAGACCACTTCCAGCGGTAAGTTTAGCCCAGCTGGATGGCCATCTTTAATGGGACATAGGGAGTGTATATATGATCCTTCCATACAGCAGTAATAGGCAGTAATTGCCAGGAAGGTGTAGAATAAAAAAATCTGAGAGAGACTTCTCTAGCACAGCTGTGCACAGAAAGGATGGCTCTCCTCAACCTCAGTAATACCATCCTGGTGTAAACTGGGGACACTTATTTATGTCTAGTTATATTGCTGTGGCACGTTGCAACTATGGAAACTAATTTCATTATTAATATAGAGGTGAGAGGGTTGCCAAGAGATCTTTCCCTTGCATCCCCTATGTTACTTCAGTCTCTGCTTCCGCTAATGGCAATGTG